CCCCAAAACCCCAAAACCCCAAAACCCCAAAACCCCAATTTTATTATAATTTATTGAAATCAGAATGCAGTGGGGAATCCAATACGACCCAATGAACTACATCATTGAGGGGCTTTACCTGGGCAACATCAGTGCAGCAAGCGACCTTAGTAAATGCCCTGCTAATTTGTAGAATACCTCCAGAAGCATGGCATAACACATATTGTTAGAGTTATCAAAGGTGACTTTGGCAAGGTATTCATGGACAATTATGGATCAAAATCAGCTATAAAATATAAGATAATCCAAGTTAATGACCTTCCCAGTGAGAACATTCAGAAATATTTCGAATCAGCTTATGAGTTTATTGATACAGCTTTGCAGAGCAACAAAGGAACAACTATAAATAAAGTCTTAGTGCACTGCCAAGTTGGAATGAGCCGATCTGCCACTATTGTGATCAGTTACTTAATGAGAAAATTTCCTGATATGACTCTTACTAAGGCGTTCAGGTTTGTTAAGTCGAAAAGACCTATTGTCAATCCTAATGAGGGGTTCATAAGACAGTTAAAAGCATACCAAAGCAGTCTAGAGAATCTTAGATTTAAGGAAACCATGAGTAAGAGAATAGTTGCAGGTCTGTCAAACGTTCGCTCGAGTCCTTACTATGATAGCAAATCTAAGATCGCAGAGAAGCCACCAACTTTTGCTCCTCCGAAGTCCTCAAACTATCATTATAGGAAGGAAGCAGATTCAAATCCTTATTCAAGGAGTAGAGGACTATTTAGCAATGCTACATATGCTGGCAACAAGAATGAGGAGAAATAAGATTCTTGATTTATCTAAATTCAAGAGAGAGCCTGCTTTAAAAACCTAGAAAATATGCAGGAGTTAATTTTCTAAACCAGCATCTTGACTTACACAGAAAAAGTATTTTTCAGGAGAATGGTAAAGGCATGATGTCAAATAAGGATAAATTCTTATCTAATTATCAGAAGCCACAGTATATGTCTCCTCAAAGAGACTACAGTAAGGTTGGAAAGCTGCTGAATAACTTTAATATACCTTCTTCTAGTTTTAAACAGCATGATTATAAGTAAGTATTTATCTTTGATAAATTATTTGCAAAGAATAAGCTCTCATTAAACGTATAGACAATGGAGTACACCATATACCAGCATTCCAAAGCAGCCAGGACCTCTCAAGCTGAACTATTTCTCCAGCACCGGTTCTGCTATCGACCTGAAATCTTCCAAGTTCGGGCTCAAGAGAGGATATAGGTAAACTATTCCTGAAATTAGCTGAATAAGAAAACATTCAATATTCTTAATAATTTTGGGGTTTTGGGGTTTTGGGGTTTTGGGGTTTTGGGG